ACACTGGAACTATATGCAACCGCGACAGATAGAATTTTTAACGAGTGCGCTGCTGCACCCCTTGCCGCCACGGTCACACCAGTACCTACTATCGAACTTGTAAGCTGGGTCAACACCCCTCAGCCGAGCAATACCTCACAAGACATCAAGGACCTGTTGCAAATTTTGAACCGCAGGATGGACACCATTGAGCAGTTCTGCTCCTCCATACCCGCTGCTGCGCCGGTTCCTGACTCACACACTATGCCCTACAAGTTCCGACATACAGCAGCCAACCCCCAGCACAACAAATTTACCCTCTGCTGGTATCACCAGACTTTCGGCCGCAATGCTAGAAACTGTGAGCCCTATTGCACCTATTCGGGAAACAGCAACACCGGAGGCTGGTAGACGCCTCAGCCTCCGTCCCTCCAGGCGTCTCATTACTGCGCGTCACCGACCGCACCTCCGGCAAGAAGTTCCTCATCGACACCGGTTCATCGGTCAGCCTCATCCCTCCCTCACTACGAGACAAGTCAAAGCAACCCTCGTATGACCTGTTCGCTGCCAACGGTACCTCCATCGCCTCCTACGGCGTACGCACCCTCGCCTTAGACCTCGGTCTGCCCAAGACTCTGTGTTGGTTATTCGTGATAGCAGACGTGTCTCAACCCATCCTTGGTTTCGACTTCCTCACCTTCCACAAGCTCGGCGTCAAACCAAGTCATCTATGCCTCATCCATGAGCCTACAGCACGCAAGATCCAGGGTTCTCGTGCCAGACACACCGACACTATCACCTGTCTTGCGCCTTCCAACGAGTTCTCCTCCCTGCTCGACGAATTCAAGGAGCTTTTCTCACCCCGAGTCTCCCTACCCCCACCACCTACATCGGGAATTTTCCACCACATCGAAACCAAAGGACCACCAGTCTTTTCACGCCCTCGCCGCCTGCGCCCTGAGCTCCTGTACACAGCCAAAGTAGAATTCAACAAACTACTGCAAGACGGCATCATTCGCCCTTCAAGGAGTCCCTGGGCATCGCCTCTTCACATGGTTCCTAAGCGAACACCCGGCGAGTGGAGGGTGTGTGGCGATTACAGAGCCCTGAATCTCGTCACCAAACCTGACAGGTACCCTATTCCGCATGTCCAGGACTTTCACCACAAACTTCATGGCAAGACTATCTTCTCGAAGATCGACTTGGAGCGTGCCTTCCACCAGATCCCAGTAGCACTGGCAGATACCCAGAAGACAGCCATCACCACTCCGTTCGGACTCTTCGAGTACACTTTCATGAGTTTTGGCTTACACAATGCAGCACAGACTTTCCAGAGGTTCATGGACCATGTGCTTCGCGACCTCGATTTTGTCACCGTCTACATTGACGACATCCTCGTCGCATCTTCGACGCCTGCCGAGCACCGCCACCACCTACAACTCCTTCTCCAACGCCTGCAGAACAACAACATGAAAGTTCATCCTGCTAAGTGCGTCTTTGGAACCTCGGCCATCGATTTCCTCGGTCACAGAGTCTCGCCCAGTGGCATACAACCCCTACCACAGAAGATAACCGCGATTAGGGGGTTCCCCAAACCTGAAACGGCGAAGAAACTCCGAGAGTTCCTGGGTTTAGTCAACTACTACCACCGCTTCATTGACAAAGCTGCCACCGTCCTAGCCCCCCTACACGACCTTCTCAAGGGACGCCCAAAGAAGTCTCACAAGTCTCTCGTGTGGACTCAAGAGGCTACTACGGCATTCACCACTATCAAACAGCACATTACACGCCTCACCCTCCTGGCCCACCCCGCACCTAACGCCCGGACCACTCTCACAACAGACGCTTCTTCTACTGCAGTGGGCGCTGTCTTACAGCAGGAGATCAACGGAATTCTCATGCCCGTTGCTTTCTTCTCACAACGGCTTCAACCACCACACCTCAAGTACAGCGCTTTTGATCGAGAACTCCTGGCCATATACTTGGCTGTCAGACATTTCCAGCACTTCCTCGAGGCCCGTCAGTTCACCATCTTCACTGATCACAAGCCCCTCGTCCACGCCTTCGCTTCAGTTTCCCAGTCACATACACCTCGTGTCCTGCGCCACTTGGCTTACATCTCGGAGTTCTCCAGCGACGTCCAACACATTAAAGGCAGCCACAACGAGATCGCCGACGCCCTCTCTCGTTGTATATCCACCATTCTTCCCTCATCTCCACCCATTGATTATGGGCAGCTAGCCGCGGCTCAAGAGAAAGACGAAGACCTGGCAGCATACAAGACATCCCCCTCAGGGCCTCATACTCCAAGAACTCCCTGTTCCTGGCACAAAGATAAAATTGTGGTGCGACGTATCCTGTGGACAGCCTAGACCGTTCATGCCTCACGTCCACCGCCGCGCTGTTTTCGACCGCATCCATGGTCTCAGCCACCCGGTGTGTGGGCCTCCCAGCGCCTCCTCACGCAACGTGCCGTCTGGCCCGGCATCAAGTCTGATACTAAGAAATGGGCTGCCCAGTGCCTGGCCTGCCAGTCCTCCAAAATACATCGTCACATACGGGCCCCCTTACAAGCCTTTCCTATTCCCAAAGGACGTTTTCAAGTAGTACACCTCGACATCGTGGGACCTCTACCATCATCCTACGGTAGCACCTACATCTTCACCTGCATCGACCGTTTCACCAGGTGGACAGAAGCAATTCCCATGCCCAACGCTACAGCAGAGACTACTGTCCGCGCCTTCATGTCCGGTTGGGTTTCCCGTTTTGGCCCCCCCGCAATCTTAATCACTGACCGAGGAGTACAGTTTGAGTCACAACTCTGGCAGCACCTCCTACAGTTCCTCGGCACGTCTAGACAATGCACTACAGCATACCACCCTCAAGCCAACGGCATGGTAGAACGTTTTCACGGGCAGCTGAAGGACGCACTCAAGGCACAGCACGACCCTTACAGCTGGACTGATGCGCTTCCCTTAGTGCTCCTCGGCATCCGTGCGTCACACAAGGAGGATATGGACTGTAGCCCAGCAGATCTGACACTTGGCGAGCCCCTTCGGCTACCCGGGGATTTCTCACTCCCTCCTGATCCCAACCAAACCACTCCAGCCGTTCGTCACGACTTACTCCAAAAGCTACGACAAGCAGTTTCTGCATTCAGAGCTACTGCTCCACGCCAGCCTACTCGGCGCCCTGAACACATCCCTCCTGCACTACTCACAGCCGAGTATGTTTTCGTCAGGCATGATGCTCACCGCAACCCATTACAACGCCCCTACGATGGACCCTTCCAGGTGGTTACCCGTTCAGCAAAGTTCCTGACAATTATCCGGAATGGCAGACATGACACCGTCAGCATAGACCGAGTCAACCCGGCCACCTTACCCGTCGGGACCCCAGCCCAGCAGCACCATCAACAAACTACGCCTGCACCAGTCTACCCGCAGTTACCACCGACAGCAACACCACGCCCACGACATTTCTGGGCACCCTCTTTTCACCCTCATATACAACCTGCTCCTGTCATAGAACCTGAACCTGTAATAAACCTCCCTTCTATCATAGAACCTGCTCCTGTCATAGAACCTGAACCTGTAATAGACCTCCCTTCTATCATAGAACCTGCTCCTGCCATGGACCCTCCTCCTGACGCAGCCCCTGCAGCAGCAGGAGCACAACAACCATTGCTTGTACAACCTCCTCTAATCCCAAACCCTCTTTCTCCTCCTAATTCTCCCACAGGTTTTGTGTCACTGGACGGAGTTGTTACACGTAGCGGTCGAGTCGTACATACACCTGCCCGGTATGTGTTATGTGTGGGACACAACCCGGACAACATCCAGCCTCCCGCCGCGCCGGGAGGGGAGGGGGAGTATTGTAGTGGACGTCTCCCCTACAACTGAGTATCCATTCCGACGCGCTGCCGTATCCTAGCAACCAAGCGAGAGCTGACGCCAGATGGTACGGTAGCCTAGCAACGAAACTATTCACCGGCGACTTTCTGGGTTTTCCCAACATGATTCATAGAGGACTGGCGGCTGCTGCTGGGTATATAAGCTCTGTCTCTCCATTGAGATTCATTCTGCCCATCTTCCTGAACAAGCAACACCTCCTCCAGCAAGCTCCACGCTGTCAGCATTCATTCAACCAGGAGGCCAGCAACAGGCAACATCTTCTCTAACGAAGCTCCTGCACATCTACCTCCTTCAACACGCTACTCACCGAACGTCTCTACTGAGCAGCTCCTCACCACACGGCACCTCCAGCACCAGACTGTCTATCATATAACTTATATTATATAAGAAAACCACATTAGAGTTTCCTTCCATCCTGAGTGCTAGACAACATTAATATCTCGATACCCCTACAATCTCAATCAGCTATGCTGATGATATTCTTATACATACTAAAATTCATCGTGAAATGCAAACCACCCTGAACCATGTATACGCAGCCCGTGAGAACCTCGGTCTTACTATCTCCACTGAGAAAACTAAGGTGTTCAACAAACAAGCTGGTAACCGCAAACGCGGCCCCGCCAAGTTCAAGATAGGCAACAACACTATTGATTATGTTTCTTCTTTTAAATATCTTGGTGTTTCCGTCCCTTGTACCCTACCTGCCATATAACAGCTAACTCGCCAATGTACTGACAGACTGAGACCTCTTAGAAGTGTAGCGGGGTACAGCCCGCATTATGGTGCTAATATTAGAATTGTTAAAACAATGTACCTAGGCTATATAAGATCTCTGATAAATTACTACGCACCAGCCCTTTGCTTCTCCCACAGATTTCGTTATCATAGAACAATAATTATACTAATTTAATTTAGAGTTACCCAAAGATTAATGATAAAGCACGAAGACCATGGGAGGCTTAACTAAGATAAAACCATTATTGGCATTGCGAGCCTAGTAAACCATGTAACCATAGAAAAACTTTCAAATGCGTTCAAAGTTTATTCCGATTACTGAATCAGGTTTAAAAGCGCGACTATCCTGCCGAACACCTGGCATTATTTTGTTTACACGATCAGCTGGTTGGCGAATATATCAACCCAGCTGTGATCGTGTAAACAAAACAACGCTAAGTGTTCGGCAGGATAGTCGCGCTTTTAAACCTGATTCAGTAATCGGAATAAACTACGTCCAGTGCACATTTCTTGGAAGGGCAAATGCAAAAAAAAAACAGAATGGAAACGTGGGGTGAAAATTAATCGGCCACCATTTGATACTGTACATTCAAAGTTAGTGCATTTAAAGTCAACACTACGTTTTGAGAGTAGCACATGGCAAAATTATCGTTTCGCTCATCCACCTATTTAGAAGTTGAAATTACGGTTTTAGATGTTTTTTGAACGATTCTGATCTTCATTTCTACTGCAAATCACAAATTTTGTAGCTACCCTCCCCCTTAGTCAACGATAATGGGGGACCCCAGTGGGAGCCAGGGCTTTTGAGTGGAGGGGGAAATCACAGAAAGTAGTAATTTACGATAGAAAAGGTAAGAATCGTTCAAAACACACCAAAAACCAACATAAAAACATAATTTCAATCTAAACTAACCTAACCGGTAACAATCAGTCACAGCACTGCTTCTCAAATGCAACCTAATCAAACCTAACCTACCCTAACCTACTGTCTGGTGGTATCTTAAAATCTTAAAATTTGCTGGATGACTGAAACGATATTAATACCAAAATTTTAGTTTCAGTCATCCCTATATTTAGATATCCAAACATAGCAGACTCCTTATTTTCTTATGTTCTTATGTAACCTTACTTAAATTCCTAAGATTCCCTGGATGACCGAAACTAAAATATACCACTTATGAATATGTTTAATTGGGAAAATGCAAATTCTGGGAGGTAGAGGAAAATATATAACGCAAGGAAGTTAATGTTTTGGGTAATTATTTATGACTTCACAGACGCTGATTTTTCATGTGTTTTATTGTGTATGAAATATTCATCTATTAATTAATGACCTGTCTGGGAGACTACTAAGCTACACCATTTATGATAGTAGAAAACACAATAATTTCTGAGAACAGGACTACCACCAGAAGTTGTACAATTTCATTAAATTTTTCATTACAGTAAGTATTTTAAATTGGTGATATCCTTTTATTTTTATTAAAAGGATTTTTGTTTTTTGTTTTTAGTTTTTCTCTACAATCATAAATAACCTGTAATGGGCAGGGCATGGAGGATGAGGGAGATTTCAGGGTAAAACATGGTGAAAAACTGGGTAATTTATGTGGAAACCTGCAAACCAGGAGTTGATTGATTTTGTTAATTTTTTACACAGATGTACTTATTGCAGGAAGTATTTTGGTGATGTCTGAGAACAGCACTACCACCAGAAGAGGTTTGATTTCATTCATTTTTCCACTTGTTCTTCTTACAGTAGTTTAAAAGAGGCGGCATTTATTAGAACCTAATAAAACTTGACCTAACCAACCAAAGAAACTTACCTGACCTTATCTAGCTTCCTAGCTGGGGGGTGGAACCCTAACCATATTAAACAGAAAGTACATACTTTGATGTCTGGTACCAATGAAAGCAACTTTGTTGTAGTGGCATGGTGTAATTTTACGTTTTTGTGGATGTGGGAATATGCTCGCCTGAACAGGTTGGTTGTCAGCAAAAACATGATACGTGGTGATGCAACTCATTTGGGAGTATGTATGGTAAATAATTAATTTCCTAACATATAAAGAACATAGAGACATCATTTCAGTGTCATAGGATCAGTTTTTCACTGTGTTCTACCCTGCAATTTCCTTCATCATTCATGCCCTGCTCACTTCAGGTGATTTATGATGGTAGATAAAGAAAATTATAAAAAAAAATACATATAATTAAAATAAAAAGTTTTCGCTTATTTTAAAAAACTTACTACGTACTTGTATAATGTTAATAACATGTGGAAAAAATGAACGAAATTGAACAACTTCTAGTGGTAGCTTGTGTTCTCATACATTACCAAAAACTGATCAAATGACACCAAAATGATGTCTCAATGTGCTTTGTACTTGAAGATATTAATTATTTACCGTAAACATTCCTCCGAAAAATCTGCCGAGTCACCACGAGTTGTTGCCTGCCGTTTGCTTACAAACAAACTGCTCAATCTCAGTGTACTCTCACGTCCACAAAAAAATGTAAAATTACATAATGATGCTTCAATAAAGTTACTTTCATTGGCTCCAGATATCAAAATACAATAAGTACAGTATTTTCTGTTTAATATGCCGGGGGGTGGGGGTAAGGTAAGGTTAGGTAAGTTTCTTTGGTTGGTTAGGTCAGGTTCTATTTGGAAAAAATTTGCAAAGTCGGATAACTCCTTTTGGTCATAGTGCTGTTCTCAGACATTACCGAAAACACAATAGCTGCTAGGCAGATCAAGGAAAAATTACTAATTTTTTTTAGGATTAGTGGCAAGTGACCTACATGTGTTATATTGTATTTCACAAAAAAAGAAAGAAAAAATTACCTGATTTGATAAGAATTAATGATAATGGTGGAGCAGACACTTCGCACCAAAAGGACTTTATGATATTAAAAAAAAATTTCAGATGTTTGGATGATAGTATGTTAGAAAAAAAATGCACAGAACCTATTACTTTTTTTTTACGGGGAATAGCCCACCCGGGCACAGGTCATCGACCCACAACGGGACCTGGGGGGCGAAAAAATAAGAATAGAAAGAAATTAAAAATGGAAAAGGAAAAGGTTATATTAATCTACACCACGAATATGCTGGAAAACCAGCTTTTTAAAGTGAGACATTGTATGAGTATGGAAACACGGAAGAAGGCAGAGCATTCCATAGTTTGACTGTGTGAGGAAGAAGGATGTACAAAAACAGGTTATTCTAGTGTGACCGACATCCACAGAGAAATGGTGGGCACCACGGACAAGATGTGTGTTACAAGCCCACGGCCTCGCCGGCGGTACACAGGATGCCAAATCCACCGAAAATTGCCCGTTAAAGTACTTGTAAAAGAGAGAGAGTGAAGCAACGTTGCAGCGAAGAGAAAGGGAAGAAAGATTGTCAACTAAAGGAGGAGAGTTAATAATACGAAATGCCATTGATTCCACCCTATCTAACAGATGGACAGAAAAAGAGCCACCCCAAACAAACACGGACATATGACGAACGTGAAACACAAACAACCGCCAACCGCATATTCAGTAATTACATATAGAAATAACAGCATTAACATGCAATTTTTAATATTCTTTGCATCATGAAGTGTACGTATATTGTATGATAAAATGTCAGTTTATATTGATAATTAAACAAATTGAAACAGAGAAAGAGAGTGTCTGAAATATTTTACAGAACAAAAAAAGTAATTCAAATTACTACGTTTTCCTGGTCGGAAATACAGAAGAAACATGTAAAAAATACTGAATTTTCTAATGGCATGTACAAACTGGACAATTTTGTAATTAAGAAGATTTGTAACCAGGTGAGAAGGTTAGGTCACCTTACCCTCTGACCTGACTACCGACCGTTGCCGTGCTAATTAAAGATTAGTAGGGTCATTACCTAATACCTGACCATTGTGGACCTGGTCTAACCCTCCTCTGTATATATACACCTTGTTCTGTACTCCTCTTTAGTCTGTACTCACCCCTGAAGATGTGAATTACACGAAAGCGCTTGGGAACTTTGTGTTTTCTTCTTTCCTTGTGGTTATCAACATATACCTAGATCACGCGCACCTACAGTGATTTACTTGTGTATATATATATATATATATATATATATATATATATATATATATATATATATATATATATATATATATATATATATATATATATATATATATATATATATATATATATATATATATATATATATATATATATATATATATATATATATATATATATATATATATATATACAGTGACCCCTCGTTTAACGAACGCCTCGGTTAACGAAATTTCGGTTAACGAACTGCCTTCCATAAGGATCTTCAATTCGGTTAACGAACAAAATTCGGTTAATGAATTTCTTACGAACCGACCTCAACATGTTTTCGCTTGCACTGACCGGGCAACCAGCTTTAGTTTCAGTCCGCCAATACATTAATCGGGTTCTAGGGCTTAAATTCCTTACTATTTTAGTAAATATCAAGAAGTTTATACTATTCAATAATTTTAAAAGTTTAATATTCAATTTTTTAGTCATTTTAACAATTATTGAACATAATTGAAGGTAAAGTGACTAGTTTAATGCACGGCATTCAGCCTCTTAACACAGCAAACAGGCGTTAGTCTCTCTCTGTTTTCACTGGAGGTAACATCTTGCTTGAGACTCTCTTCAACTAAACACTTTTTTCTGTGTTTCCAAGCAAATTATTGGTCATTTTGAAATATATTTTACATATTGACAATATATAATGCAGTGCCGTGTTGATTTAAAGAAAATAATCTTGAAATACACCAAGAGAACTAAAATTTTATGGGTGAAATGGTGCCATGGGGTGACTTCTCTTCCACCCCAATGCCTTCTCTTCTTCCTTCTCCTCCACCCCCATTCTAATTCCCATCATCATCATCATCATCCAGGAGCCTTCTACATACACATCTCAAAGTAAGTGAACTTTTCTACCATTTTTGTTGAATTTAGGCAATTTTCGGTGAGCTGGAACCACTACCATAAACCCATTGAAACAATGGTTTCGGGTTATCAACAATCTTTGAGTTCGGTTAACGTATATATATATATATATATATATATATATATATATATATATATATATATATATATATATATATATATATATATATATTACCCCGCTTTACGCGGGTTTTTTTTACGTGTTTCCACGTTTACGCGGCATCCTGCCAGACCCGGAATGCTTACTTTACGCGGTGCATGTACTCTTTTATGCGGAGAGCGGCGCGGGCAGGGTACGCACAAGGTCGCTCAATCATCAAAACATTACCAAGTTCTTCACCCGCCACCCACCACAGCCGGCCCAAGTCAGTGATAGTGATAGTGAGGATATGGACTTATATGGACTTTGAGGGGTTTAACAAAGAGGCTCTGCAACCCTCTGTGGTGGATAGTGATACAGGTGAGGACCAATAATCTTCCCTCTGCCTCGGAACCAACCCCCCCATCCCCGTGTGCCCAGCCATCTTTTCTACTAATGCAAGTGTTAAAAAACCTAATATTATTGATATTTCTCTTAATTATATATATATTTAGTGGGTATAAAT